TAGCCCACCCCTCCCTGGTCTCCACAATGGGTACAAAATCAAAATTATGCTCTAGACTAGTGAGAATAACCATTGAGACTGCACTCCACAGCTCCATAGCTACCTCCCTTATGGAATCTCAAAGTCATGAAGTGATATAGATACAGCTCAGAAGAAGAATGTGACTTCCTTGAGATCATTCAGCTGGTGTACGCTCTGACAAGTCCCAGATCACTGGGGGCACTCTGGGAAGATGGCAGAGTAGGTCAGAAATTTACAGGCTCTCCAGATTTTCTCCACAAACAGACAGAAAAATTGCCATGAAATGAAAGTAGAGCAACAAAAATAAAAAGGTAAGGTATGTATCCTCCTATGACAACTTGAGAGGACCTCAGAAAAAACAAGGGGCTGAGGTCTGGCCTAAGTGAAGTGTAAACCCTCCAGGCTGACTTCACATAATCAACAAACAACAGAGCTAAGGGCAGCTCAATAAGCAGACTAGGCCTCAAGAAATTTCATCTCATAGAAGAAGAAATTCCATTTAAAGTTACTGTAGACATTATAAAATATTTAGGAATCTACCTACCAAAACAGATCCAGGAACTCTATGAACACAATCACAAAACACCTTTCACACAAATAAAGTCAGATCTAAATAATTGGAAAAACATCAGTTGCTCATAGGTAGGCCAAGCTAATATAACAAAAGTGACAATTCTACCTAAGCTAATTTACTTATTCAGTATCATACCAATCAAACTACCAATTATTTTATACAGTTAGAAAAAAATAATAACAAGATTCATTTGGAATAACAAAAGTTCCAGAATGTCAAGGGAACTAATGAAAAGAAATGCAAGGGAAGGTGGCCGAGCCATTCCAGATCTTAAATTGTATTTAAAGCAGCAATCATCAAAACTGCTTGGTACCGGCTAAGAAATAGAGTGGTGGATCAGTGAAATAGACTAAGTATGCAAGACATAGTAGTCAATGAATATAGTAATCTATTATTTGCTAAATTCAAAGACCCCAGCTTTAGGGATAAGTTGACAAAAACTGCTGGGAAAACTGGAAAAGAGTATGATAGAAACTAGGCATAGACCAAAATCTCACACCATATATCAAAATAAAGTCAAAATGGGTTCATGATTTGGATATAAAGGCTGATACTATAAGCAAACTGGGAGAGCAAGGAATAGTTTATCTATCAGATTTATGGAGAACAGACTAATTCATGACCAAAAATCATGACCAAATTCAAGATAAAGAACATTACAAAATGCAAAATGGATAACTTTGATTACATTAAATTGTAAAGTTTTTGCACAAACAAAGCCAATGCAATCAAGATTAGAAGGAAAGTAGAAAACTGGGAAAGAATTTTTACAACCAGTCTCTCTGATAAGGACCTCATTTCTAAAATATGTAGAGAATTAAGTTAAATTTATAAGAATACAAGTCATTCCCCAATTGATAAATGGTCAAAGGATATGAACAGGCAGTTCTCAGATAAAGAAATTAAAACCATCTATAGTCATATGAAAAAATGCTCTAAATCACTATTGATTAGAGAAATGCAAATCAAAACAACTCTGAGGTACCACATCACACCTATCAGATTGGCCAACATGACAAAATAGGAAAATGATAAATGTTGGAGAAGATGTGGGAAAATGTATTGTTGGTGGAGTTGTGAACTAATTCAACCATTTTGGAGAGCAATTGGGAACTATGCGCAAAGGGCTATAAAAATACGCATACCCTTTGACCCAGCAATAGTACTTCTTGGGCTGTATCCCAAAGAGATCATAAAAATGGGAAAAGGACCCACATGTACAAAAATATTCATAGCAGCTCTTTTTGTGGTGGCAAAGAATTGGAAATTGAGAGGATACCCATCAATTGGGTAATGGCGGAACAAATTGTGGAATTTGAATGTAATGGAATACTATTGTGCTATAAGAAATGATGAGCAGGCAGACTTCAGAAAAACTTGGAAAGACTTGTATGGTCTGATGCTGAGTGAAGTGAACAGAACCAGGAGAATGTTGTACACAGTAACAGCCATGTTGTGCAATGACTAATATTGATAGCCTTAACTCTTCTCAGCAATGCAAGGATTTAAGATATCTCCAAAGGCCTCATGATGGAAAATGCTATCCACATCCAAAGAAAGAACTATGGAGTTTGAATGCAGATCGAAACATATTATTTGCTATTTTTTTTTCTTCTGTTGTGTTTAGTTTCCTCTTTCTGGTGGTTCCTCCTTTTGGTTATAATTCTTCCTTACAACATCACTAATGTGAAAATATATTTAATAAGAATGTTTATTTATAGCCTATATCACACTGAGTGCTGTCTTGAGGGGAGACGTGGGGAGGAAGGAGGAGAAAAATTTAATACTCAAAAGCCTATGGAAGTGATTGTTGATAAAGCAAAATAAATTAATACAAAAAGAAATTTCATCTCAAAGTTAATTTCACTCATGGCCTCAAGAACTTTCACCTCACAAACTTTCACCTCACAGCCTCAAGAACTTTCACCTCACACTTTCAAAAACTTTCACCTTGCTGACTTTTACCTTGCAAACTTTCATTTAAGGAACAGCAGATAGCTGAGTGGAGAAAGTTTGAAAGAACCCTTGCTTTTTCTGGAAGCCAGGCATAGAAGTGCTGACCAGAAATGATCTGGGCTGTGGTTGTGGCTGTGGGCAAGGAGGAGTGTCACAAGCCCAGTGAGTGAAGGTACAACAAGGAGCAAGAACATTTTAGGGACAGCATGGCTGGAGGATTTAACTTCGGCTTGGGAGAGGAGAGGAGTGCCTCAGGTTGAGCCCCCAAACAGAATTCAGGACAACATTATCCACAAATCAGAATGAAAACTCAATTATAATAATGGGTTGCTATAAATAAAATAGAACAAAATAAAAATAAAAATGAGTTAGCAAAGGAAAAAGAATCCAACCATAGATAACTACTTTGGTGTAAAAGATCTGGGTTTATATTTGGAAGAACATAGCAAGGTTTAAAAAAAAAAGCCATTCCTACCCAAAAGAGTAACATCAAATGGTTACAAGCCCAAAAAGGGTTCTTGGAAAAACTTGAAAATGAATTCAAAAATTAAATAATGGAGATAGAGAAAAAATAGGAAAAATACACACAATCCAAGATAATTATGAAAAAGAAGTTAACCAATTTGAAAAAGAGATACAAAATGTTAAGAAAGAAAATAACTCCTTGAAAACTAGAATTAGGCAGAAGAAAATTATAAATTACATTATAAGACACTAACAAATAATAAAACCAGGAAAAATAGAAGAGAATCTGAAACATCTCATTAGAAAAACAACTGATCTGGAGAAGAGATTGAGGAGATACGATATAAGTCTACCTGAAAGTTATGATCAAAAAATTATCTGGATACAATATTACAAGAAGTTGTTAAGGAAAGTTGCCCTGAAGTTCTAGAACAAGAAAGGAAAGTAGAAGTAGGAAAAAAAGTTTACCGTTCACAACATGAAGGAGATCCCAGGATGAAAACTTATAGGAATATCATAGCCAAGCTTCAAAACTCTCAGGTTATGAAGAAAATTTTGCAAGCAACAAGAAAAAAAAATTTAATACTGAGGAAATACAGTAAGGATTTCACAAGACCTAGCAACTTCTACTTTAAAATACCTTAAGTCTTGGAACATTATATTGTGAAGAGCAAAAGGGTCAGGGTTGCATCCAATAATAACATACCCAGCAAAGTTGAGTGTAATCCTGATTGAAAAAAAAATGGATATTTGAAGAATTGAAAGACTTCAGGTATTTGTAACAAAGAGATTAGAACTCAAAGGAAAATTTGATATAAAAGGTCCAGAAAAAATATAAGGCAAACATTAAAGATTATTTGTGTGCAATGATAGTCACCTCTAGAAGAGGGTAGGGGGAAGAGGGAAGAAAAAAGGAAAAAAGGAAACTAACATAATTACTTTGCTGTATATTTGGAGGGAACAGCAAGTTGTACATGGTAGATTCACAATTTCTTGTAGAATCATCTTTTTTATTGTATTATGTTGTGGAAATGCTTGCTTTATTCCATAAATTAAAAATAACATTAAAAAAAATTAGTCCCAGGTCTCCCTGTTCCAAGTACCAAGTTCCTTCTTACCACCCCAACTCTGCTTCTCAGGCTCATTGGAAAACCACATTCACCCTGCCCTCAAGGGTGCACCATTGGTCAGCTCTCTCTTGCTCTCTCTCGCGCTCTCTCTCTCTCTCTCTCTCTCTCTCTCTCTCTCTCTCTCTCTCTCTCTCTCTCTCTCTCTCTCTCTCTCTCTCTCTCTCTCTCTCTCTCTCTCTCTCTCTCTCCCACATCTCTATCAAAGACAAGAGGAAGGGAGGGGACAAGGGAAGAGGAGACTGGAGTTATACATACCTTCTTTAGCTACAGAGGTGGAAGAGGGGAAGGTAGTAGGGGCAGGGCTAAGATCTACAGGTCCTAGAAACCTATACCTGCAACTAACTATGGGAAATCTCCCTAGCTTAGAAAATAACACTTCCCCAAGAAGATAGGTGATGTTCAAACCCTGGTTCCTGGCTGGCTACCTGGGCAATCATGAACAAGTCACTCCCTTTTCCAGGTGTCACACAAGGGTGACACAGAAGAGGTTGGGAGATGTGATACTGGTGTGTTTGCATGTGTTGTGTTGTGTGTGTATGGTTATGTGTATGAAGGATTCAGAAGTCATAAAAATAAGACAAAGAATAAGAAACTTGCAGGGCTGGGGAGAAGGGCAGTGTGTGTGTGTGTGTGTGTGTGTGTGTGTGTGTGTGTGTTAGAGGAGTGGGGAAAGCATGTGGCTGAGAGAACCAGAATCCTTCATTTCCAGCAGAAACTGAACAAGACCAAGCTGGTCACTTTTTTCTATCAGAGCTGAAGTCAGGATAAGGAAAATTGTGGTTAAGTATGCGCCCTGGAGTAGCCCCTTAAGGAAGGATCTTGAAACACTAAGGAAATGAGTGTGGGTTACTTACCTGCTGGAGCAATAAACACAGAGGGACAGACGTCAAGAAGTAGATCTTTTCTGTAGTCACTCTGCTCAGGTTATTTAAGTTTGGGAGTCTTTCCAGACCAAGCAGAAAGACACACCCTCCTGAAAAAAGTTGGTGACAGCAGATAGGTTAGATTAGATCTCCCTTTCTTTGTCACTCAGAAGTAGCTCCTGGCAATAAGGGAGGAAATGAAATGGGCTTTGGTAGAGAGCCAGTTCCCCGGGGGCTGTGGGAGGCAAAGGATCAGAGAAGAGAGAACTGAGAGCTTTGGATGGGCCACTGAGGTAAGAAGTACTGGGAAAAGGTCGGAGGAAGAGGTGAGGTAGTGAGGGTAATACAAAAGAAATATCGTCAGGTGATATAATGTAAGGCAAAGGAGCTTGGAATGCAGCCAAGGATCAATTACCCACAAAAATGAGCATCATTTTTCAAGGGAGGAGGTAGATATTCAATGAAATAGGAGACTTCCAAACTTTCCTGATAAAAAGACCAGAGCTCAACAAAAAATTTGATCTTCAAGTACAGGACTCAAGAAGGACTTAAAAAGGTAAATGGGACAGAAAGATACAATATGTTGTTAATAAAGGGGGAGGGCTGTTTAAACCCCTACAAGGGAATATGACACTTGCAACCCATGAGAACTGTATTGTTATTACACCTTGTTAAAGGAGTATACATACAGTGGATATTAGTTGGCTTTGATGTAATGATAAAAAAAAATCTAATCAAGTGGGTTAAATGGATCCAAATAAGTGGATCAATCTGATCTTAGAAAATGTACTGAGAAAGGAGGAGGCAGACAAGGGTAAATTACATTACAGGAAAAGACACAAAATCCTATTACAGCAGAGGGAAAGAAGGGGGGGAGCATTGTTTGAACCTTACTCTCATCAGATTTGGCTCAAGAAGGGCATAACATAATCAGTTAGGTATAGAAATCTAACTTGCCCTATAGGCAGTAGGAGGGAAAAGGGGAAAGAAAAGGGAGGGGGGAAAGAAGGGAGGGAAGAAGCAGTAAGGTAAAGGGGAAGAAAAGGGAAAGGGATAATAAAAGGGGGAGGGACTGAAGGAGGTGGTGGTCAAAAGCAAAACACTAGTGAAGGGGGAAAGGAAAAAGGAGAAAGAAAAGCATAAATGGGGGGAAAGGATGAGAAAAAGACACAGATAGTAATCATAACTGTGAATGTGAATGGGATGAACTCTCCCATAAAATGGAAACAGATTGCAGAATGGATTAAAAACCATAATCCTACAATATGTTGTTTACAGGAAACACATTTGAAAAAGAGTGACACATACAGGGTAAAGGTAAAAGGCTGGAGCAGAATATATTATGCGTCAGCTGAAGTGAAAAAAAGCAGGGGTAGCAATCCTGATCTCAGACAAAGCAAAAGCAAAAATAGATCTAATCAAAAGAGATAAGGAAGGAAACTACATCCTGCTAAAAGGCACCATAGACAATGAAGTAATATCATTACTAAACATATATGCACCAAATGGTATAGCATCCAAATTCTTAGAGGAGAAGTTCAGGGAGTTACAGGAAGAAATAGACAGCAAAACTATACTAGTGGGGGACCTGAACCTCCCCTCTGCACTAGATAAGTCTAACCACAAAATAAACAAGAAAGAAATTAAGGAGGTGAATAGAACATTAGAAAAGTTAGGTATGATAGACCTCTGGAGAAAACTGAATGGGATAGAAAGGAATATACTTTTTTCTCAGCAGTACATGGCACATACACAAATTGACCATGTACTAGGGGCATAAAACCTCACAATCCAATGCAGAAAGGCAGAAATATTAAATGCATCCTTTTCAGATCATGATGCAATAAAAATTATATGTAATAAAGGGCCATGGAAAGATAGACTAAAAAATAATTGGAAACTAAATAATCTAATCCTAAAAAATGATTGGGTCAAACAACAAATCATAGAAACAATCAATAATTTCATTCAAGAGAATGACAATAATGAGACAACATACCAAAACCTATGGGATGCAGCAAAGCAGTTCTTAGGGGAAGTTTTATATCTCTAAATGCTTACATAAATAAAATAGAAAAAGAGGAGATTAATGAATTGGGCATACAACTAAAAAAACTAGAAAAAGAACAAATTAAAAATCCTCAACTAAACACCAAATTAGAAATATTGAAAACCAAAGGAAAAATTAAAATTGAAATTAAGAAAACTATTGAACTAATAAATAAAACTAAGAGCTGGTTTTATGAAAAAACCAATAAAATAGATAAACCTTTGGTTAATTTAATTAAAAAAAAAAGAAGAAAACCAAATTACTAGTATCAAGAATGAAAAGGGAAGCTACCACCAAGGAAGAGGAAATTAAAACAATAATTAGGAATTATTTTGCCCAACTATATGCCAACAAATTTGACAATCTTAGTGAAATGGATACATATTTACAAAAATATAAATTGCCCAGATTAACCGAAGAGGAAGTAAAATACTTAAATAACCCCATCTCAGAAAAAGAAATTGAACAAGCCATTGATGAACTCCCTAGGAAAAAATCTCCAGGGCCAGATGGATTTACATGCGAATTCTATCAAACATTTAAAGAACAATTAATTCCAATACTATATAGACTATTTGGGAAAATAGGTGAAGAAGGAGTCTTACCAAATTCTTTTTATGATACAAATATGGTGTTGATACCTAAACCAGGAAGAGTCAAAATAGAGAAAGAAAATTATAGACCAATTTCTCTAATGAATATAGATGCAAAAATTTTAAACAAAATACTAGCAAATAGATTAGCAACTTATCACAAGAATAATACACTATGACCAGGTAGGATTTATACCAGGAATGCAGGGTTGGTTCAATATTAGGAAAACTATCAGCATCATTGAGCATATCAACACAAAACCAACAGAAACCACATGATCATCTCAATAGATGCAGAAAAAGCTTTTGATAAAATACAACACCCATTCCTATTAAAAACACTAGAAAGCATAGGTATAAATGGAGTCTTCCTTAAAATAATAAATAGCATATCTAAAACCTTCAGCAAGCATTATATGTAATGGGGACAGGCTAGAAGCATTTCCAATAAGATCGGGGGTGAAACAAGGATGTCCATTATCACCACTGTTATTCAATATTGTACTGGAAACCTTAGCTTTAGCAATAAGAGAAGAAAAAGAAATTGAAGGCATTAGAATAGGCAAAGAAGAAACAAAGCTATCACTCTTTGCAGATGACATGATGATATACTTAGAGAATCCTAGAGAATCAAGTAAAAAACTACTTGAAATAATAAACAACTTTAGCAAAGTTGCAGGCTATAAAATAAACCCACATAAATCATCAGCATTTCTATATATTACCAACAAAGCCCAACAGCAAGAGATAGAAAGAGAAATCCCATTTAAACTTACTGTAGACATTATAAAATATTTAGGAGTCTACCTCCGAAACAAACCCAGGAACTCTATGAACACAATTACAAAACACTTTTCACACAAATAAAATCAGATCTAAATAATTGGAAAAACATCAGTTGCTCATGGGTAGGCCAGCTAATATAATAAAAATGACAATCCTACCTAAGCTAATTTACTTATTCAGTGCCATACCAATCAAACTACCAAAAATTATTTTATAGAGTTAGAAAAAATAATAACAAGATTCATTTGGAAAAACAAAAGGTCCAGAATATCAAAGGAACTAATGAAAAGAAATGCAGGGGAAGGTGGCCTAGCAATTCCAGATCTTAAATTGTATTATAAAGCAGCAATCATCAAAACTGCTTGGTACTGGCTAAGAAATAGGGAGGTGGATCAGTGGAATAGGTTAAATATGCAAGACACAGTAGTCAATGACTATAGTAATCTATTATTTGATAAACCCAAAGACCCCAGCTTCTGGGATAAGAACCCACTCTTTGAAAAAAACTGCTGGGAAAACTGGAAAAGAGTATGGCAGAAACTAGGCATAGACCCAAATCTCACACCATATACCAAAATAAAGTCAAAATGGGTTCATGACTTAGATATAAAGGCTGATACCATAAGTAAACTGGGAGAACAAGGAATAGTTTACCTATCAGATCTATGGAGAACAGAAGAATTCATGACCAAACAGGAGATAGAGAACATTATGAAAAGCAAAATGGATAATTTTGATTACATTAAATTGAAAAGTTTTTGCACAAACAAAGCCAATGCAACTAAGATTAGAAGGAAGGTAGAAAATTGGGAAAGAATTTTTACAACCAGTCTCTCTGATAAAGGCCTCATTTCTAAAATATATAGAGAATTAAGACAAATTTATAAGAACACAAGCCATTCCCCAATTGATAAATGGTCAAAGGATATGAACAGACAGTTCTCAGATGAAGAAATTAAAGCCATCTATAGTCATATGAAAAAATGCTCTAAATCATTATTGATTAGAGAAATGCAAATCAAAACAACTCTGAGGTACCACATCACACCTATCAGATTGGCCAACATGACAAAACAGGAAAATGATAAATGTTGGAGAAGATGTGGGAAAATTGGAACACTAATACATTGTTGGTGGAGTTGTGAAATGATCCAACCATTTTGGAGAACAATTTGGAACTATGCCCAAAGGGCTACAAAAATGTGCATACCCTTTGATCCAGCAATAGCACTTCTAGGGCTATATCCCAAAGAGATCAAACAAATGGGAAAAGGACCCACATGTACAAAAATATTCATAGCAGCTCTTTTTGTGGTGGCAAAGAATTGGAAATTGAGAGGATGCCCATCAATTGGGGAATGGCTGAGCAAGTTGTGGTATATGAATGTAATGGAATACTATTGTGCTATAAGAAATGATGAACAGGCTGACTTCAGAAAAACCTGGAAAGACTTATATGGTCTGATGCTGAGTGAAGTGAGCAGAACCAAGAGGACTTTGTATACAATAACAGCCATGTTATGCAATGACTAAGATTGTTAAACTGAACCCTTCTCAGCATTACAGGATCTAAGACATCTCCAGAGGCCTCGGATGGAAAATGCTGTCCACATCCAAAGAAAGAACTATGGAAGTCAAATCGCTATC